AGAGCAGGAGAGAAGTATAGCTAAATTTTGTCAGTTATTCTGTGCACAATAGGTAAAAGTTGTCTTCAGAAGTTAAAAGCTACTTGAGTATGAAATAATTTTTGTTTTACATAATCACTTTTCATCAGTTAGGTGAAATAATGTATTTTAGCATGGATAGTTCTGGAAAGAGCAGCTGTTTAAACAACAGAGCATGTTAGTGTGCAAGGTTTCAAGACTGAGAGTTAAACTGTCTCTGTATCAGTGAACCTGAAGCTCTGCTTTGGAGAAGTAGGTTTGAAATGCCTATATTCAGCTGTAAAGTTAATAGATATTTACTGGTATTCCCTTTAGAGCAACAGGGCCTATTTTTTAAAAGCTGAAAAACTCTGACTAGGTTATCAGTATAAAAAATGGTAGAGCAAAATGATTCAAACCAATAAGTTAGTAGAATTACTTTTTGTTAGCCTTGGAACTCTAAAAGAGCTGAGTATAAGTTTACCAAATTTGCTTGCTGTTTGGCCTGCCCTCTTGTATAATATCAGAGAAATGGAAAACTACTAGTGTCTTGTAGCTGTAAAATGGGGCTTAAAAGGGATGGTGGTACCAAGAAAGCTTAAATGTTGAATAGATTGTGTTAATTGTGTTAAGAAATAAAATTAGTAAACTGATGTAGAACTACATCTGTGAAAAATCCTAGATGTTTTAATGTTAAAAAGGGTCTTTAAAGGCAGGACTGATGGTAAATCAGTAACTAATTTTTGAATCTTCTACACAAAGTCCCTCGTGAGTAGCAAAAAAGCTCGTCTGCTGGGGCTTCCTTTTCTTTCCAGTCTTTTCTTCATGTGCAGTCTGACTGCTTCAGTTGAACTAATATATTCAGTTTCTCAGACTTTTCTATTTGACTTCTAATGGATGTCTTAAATGGAAGTCAGTGAGATCATTGGGACAAATAAAATGTTGTCCATGTATATTGTTAATTCTGCTCAGTACCAACATCTTTTAAGATGCATTTTTTTTAACACCAGTGACACAGAAGTATTTTGAAAACAAAGCACAGTTTTCCTTTGGCTAAATCACCAGCAGTACTCCTTAAACCACCCAAACAGTCCAGGGTGGACTCATGCAGAGTGATATGAAATTACTCAGAGCTGGAGCATTGGGTGGTGTGTTAACATTATAGGAGATTTAATATTGTTTGAATAGCTCATTTTTGAAGTTAAATTAAGATAGGAACATGACTCGTTGCAGTTACTGAAATCTGAAATACTTTTTTCCTGATGGATTGGAACAAATAAAGATGAAGCAGCCAAAACATTAATGCACAATAATTGACTACAAATGTCTGTAAACATGTTCTGTTAGGTTGCTATGAAACTCTTTATTCCTGGCGAGCGAGAAGATGACTGTGAGACTGCCTTAAAGCTGTTGTCTCTTACACAAAGGGTCAGTGGTAATTTGAACATCAGTGTTCCTACTCTTTGTTCTGAAAATGACAAAGATCACTCCTTTTTTATTTAAGTAAAATTGAACCAAGTATTGCTTTTTTCTTTAAAGTTTGTTCTTCATAATTTCAGATTTTCCTTTTTAGAGAAGACTTCTAGAGTGTTTTTCCACTTCCTTAACATGCATCTAGTCTTACTCCTGAGCTACTGGGACGGAGATATGAGAAGAATCATCCTTTTTTTTTTCACATAACCCTCCCAGTTTGCCATATCGCTTCCCTCAGTAGCTGGCAAAGGGCACTGACCTGTTCAGATGGCTGAAACCAGGGGTGTTTATAAAGCCAGGCAGGTTAATTGAAGTGCACAGCAGTGTAATGACTTCCTGCAGAGGCTGACAGCACCTGTCTTCAGATGTACAGGTGCCACTTCCACCTGGACTGACAAATCAGCTCCTTGAGTAGGTGTTAGTTTGTTTCAACCTTTGTGGCTGATACACAAATTGTAGGAAAACATCACATTTTAGGAAGTGTTTCTTTGTTGGTAAGGAAGTGAAATATGGAAACACTAAGTATCTGTGTGTTTTTTGTCTGCTTCAGTCAGGTTTCAGCTAAAATCTGACTTAGGTGGTTTGCAGAGGGTCATGTGAATGACTGTTTATCAAAATGGACTTTCTTTTCACATTTTGAAAAAAAGTGAAAAGTAAGAAAATGTGAAATAAAATAGATAAAAATACATAGGCTCAATGCATTTAAATGCTAAATATTTAAATATTTTGTGTTAGTTTTAGTAATGATTTTCATACTGTATCAATAAAATAGAAGGTTAAAGCAACACCATACAATTTTTAATGTTTGGGGAAATTAATAAATTTGTTTTATCCTAACAATGCATGTCTTTTTGTCATAAGTGGCTAGATTTTATAAAGAAAGCCCTACTCCTCAAAACTCTACCTGATGTTGTTTTCCAGTCTAATATATAGTAAAGTGCTTTAGGATTTGGTTTTGAGAGGTCAGTATTATTATTTTAATGCTACAGTCAAAACCATTCCTAAGTAATAAACGTCATCATTGAGTTCCCTAGCTCACTCTTTTCTGTTTTATGTCGTGGTGCTTCAGAATTGTGCCTTTAGTTCTGGAACTCCAAATTAGGTGCTTCACACTCCTCACATTACAGCTGTCTCATTACATTTCACTTTTGCTTTAATTGATTTTCACTTCATTTATTTAATCATCATCCATTGATAGCAGCATGATGCCTGTCATTTAATATCTCAGTAGTATTTCAGCAAGTTTTATTAGGATGTATTTTAGATTTTGAATTGTAGTTATATGCTAGTGTGGTGGAGCTAACATGCTTTTAAATTAATTCACGACCCTAAATTGATATTAAAGAACTGAAATTTTAAAGTTTGTACCCATTATTAGTTAAAAGCTCATTTTACAGGATTGTTCAAATACATTTCAGTTTTTGTGTGAGGGTTATTTATTTATGGAACCTGTGTATTAGGCTATTTCAGTGTACTCTGAAAAATCTGTTAATAAAGAATAAGGTTAAGCTATAAGTCTTAGATCAAAATATCCTGTAAGCAGGTGAAATGAAAAAACAATGATCTGCCAATGGACTTATTAGAAGCAGGAAAGTAGAAAGTAGGAAAGAAAATTACCAACATTGCCATACATCCTCAAAATGTTAATCCATTTTTAGTTTATTAAAATAAGATTTGTTTTAAATAAAAATTGTGCCAGTGAAAGAGAAGGGAATCAAGATGGCTAATTCATGGTATGCTAGATAAATAAAAGGGAGGCAAGGAAGTGTTTGCCAAGTGTTTATGGTACTACAGATGGATATGGGTACAGGGCTTCTGCACCTTCACAGTTGTGGTGGTAAGGCCTGGGCCAGCTACACATTTGCACAGGAAGTTTATTTTCCTCTTTTTTCGGCCACGATGTCTGTCAGTGGAGAGAGTGCACTGGAGGATGCAATATAGGAACTGAGATTACAGCTCCTTCAGGAATGAGAACAATTTACGCAGTAAAGAGTCCCTCTAGGGGAAAAAATAATCTTGGATTCTCTTTGTTTCCATTGTCTTGTATGAGAAATCATGGTGTTTCCTGCACTCGTGGCAGCTCTTTGGACTTGGTGTTGGCTGGTGTAGCCTCACTGACACCACCAACATTGCAGTATCATTTGATGGCATTTATTTTTTTACTTTTTGCTCTAAATGAATGCTCCTGGTAGAGGGGAGAAAAAAAGAGGCAGGCAGAGAGAGAGCCAAAAGCATATTCACTGGTATATATACATACACATGTGCATATGGACAGGATACAAGGGCTGACACTGGTATGCTGGGTGATGTGTGAAAATGAAAGATGTGTCCTTTAAGGATTTGTAAATCATGCCTCCCTTTAGTATATTGCAAGTACAGCCTTGGACAGTGGTTTTTCCTTAATCATCCCTTTCTGAAAACTTTTATTAGCTTTCCTTTTTATAGTTAAGCTTGCAAATACTGAAATTAGGAGTCCTCCTAGTAGCAGCTTTCCCACTTATTAGTTTAGTCTGGTTTTTTGGTTAGTTGTTTCATGGTTATTTTGTTATTGTTTAATTTATTTCATAGCCACTGGTGTGCACTGTGCACATTTTTTCCATCCAGTTTGAAGTCTTGGCATTTTCATGCGTGATGGATTCCTATAGAAACCTACTGTCTATCCAGTGTTCTAAAGGGAAGATTTAATAGCAGACAGAGATTTTTCTGCTGTACTCCCTTGGCAGAAAAGTACTGCTGGCAAATATTGTAAATATGTCTTATAGAGGATATTGTAGTGGTGTTTCATCTCCCTTTCACTCTTTCTTGTTTTTAATTTTATGCACTGAACAATTTTGTGTGCAACCATCTATTAGATTGATGTGTATTTGGGATCTGAAATTTCTGTGGCACAGAAACATGTCAGGACTTTTGTACTCCCATAGGGAAGAAATGAAATCAAATGTTTTGGGTTTGTAGCAGGAGCTTCAGTTCTTTGGAGACACAGCAGATTATATAAATGTGGCCTTACCTTGGGAGAGGAGAGTGGTGAGAATTGGCACTGCTAATGGGGAGTGTGGACAAGAGGCAGTATGCTTTTGTACAGGTGCTCCTGGACATCTCTCTGCCTTTGAGTAGAGACATTTACTTGTCAGTGCCTGGAAAAAAATGGAAGAAACAAAATTTGTTGTAAACTTTCAAGTATGCTTGTAAGTATTGTTTACTCCTAAATAAGCATGAGGGTGTGCATGTTTAAGTGTGAATGTGTCAGAACAAATATTTCTTCAAGTGTTAAGAATGTTGTAAGTTACAGAAACTGTTCTTAGCTTTCGTTGAGTTTCTCCTTTTCTTCCTTGGTGTTGTTGCAAGTTAAATTATCTGTACCTGTAATGGATGGTTATTACTGCTGCACCTAAAAAAGCCCATCTAAAGAGCCATGTGCTTAATTGCATGTGACTTGTTTATAAGTAAAATATTTCTGGGACAATATTTTCCACTTAGAGCTGGTTGTATTAAAGGAATTGTGTGTTTTGTTTTTTTTTTTTTTTATATAGGTAAAGACAGAGTTTTCAACACCCCTTTATGTGAACAAGGAATTGTTGGCTTTGGTATTGGAATTGCTGTTACAGGTGCTACAGCCATTGCAGAAATTCAGTTTGCAGATTACATTTTTCCAGCATTTGATCAGGTTAGTACTAATAAATTTGAGAGTGGTTAAAAGAAATCTTACAACTGTTTAAATTACTCTTCTGTTAGCATTAGTACTTGGTTTGAATATGTCATTTTTGCAAATATAACCACAGCTGTATTACTAATATTTATGCATGCTTTAGGTAAACAGGCATAAATTGCAAACAGTGCTAGTACTGTCATGTAAACAGTAAACTGTACCAAGGTTTATTTGAAGGCCTATTAAATAATGGAAATTAAAGATTTGGTTTGAGGCAAATGTCTGTTTGTTTTATTTTTTGATTTTGTGGCTGTGTTTGCTTCAGCAGCCATAAATTCAACAGCCTGTGTCTTCTGAACACAGTCTCACTTCTGCATCCAGCTGCAGCTGGCCATATGTCCACAGGACAAAGTACAGATCTGGACTGGGCTGATTGACAGTACAGAATGAGGGAACAACTGGGTTATAGGGCTACCCCTGAAGCTTACACATCTAACTTGAACATAATAAATTATTGGTTTATTTGCCTTGGAAAATGTTTGTCTTTTACAGTATTCCTTTGCTTATAATTTCATCCTCTGAATCCCATGAATGGAACAGATGATGTAATTACATTACACGTATTGAACTGTCTCGATGCATAACTAGAGGTGCTGGACTGAATGTTACTTTTGTATATAAATCTTCCCAGATTGTTAATGAAGCAGCAAAATATCGTTACCGCTCTGGAGATCTGTTCAATTGTGGAAACCTCACCATTAGAGCACCCTGGGGCTGTGTGGGCCATGGTGCATTATATCACTCTCAGAGTCCAGAAGCCTTTTTTGCTCACTGTCCAGGAATAAAGGTATAGTAACTCTTTATGAAGATGAATTGGTTTTGTTTTTTTGTTTTGTTTTTTTTTTTAATAAAGGACCTGACTTGCTATGAGTCTGGGTGCAGGCAGGGGGAAGAGTAGATGTCAATCCACAACAAAATATCTGAATATGCTAATTAAAAACATTTAGAAAACCTAAACTGTGTTAAGTGTTTGAGAATTTATAGCCATTATTGAAGCAATCTTTAGTAGACATAGCATTTTGTATTTGTCTGTTTTTTGCACTATAAACATTTTACATAGTTTTGTGTCCAGTGTAGTACAGAACCTAAAACTAATAAGTAGTACTTTGCTTCCTATTTTTTAAAATTTCTGCATCTCTCTTAAGTGCATCATTGAATTTACTCAAATGAAGGACAGTGGTGGGCAGTGGGCACAAACTGAAATACCAGAGGTTCTGTCTGAACATGAGGAAGCACAGATTGCCTTGAGAGTTTGTGGAGTGTCCATTCTTGGAGGTACTCAGATTTTGTCTGCGCATGGTTCCAGGCAACTCTCTGTGAATGGCTGTACTTCGTCAAGGGCATTGGAGCAGATGACCCTCTGGAGGTCCTTGCCAAGCTCAACTACTTGGTGATTTCCTGAGAACTTTAAGGCAGGCTTTCTGCCTGAGGCTGTGGCATCCCTTGAGGTGAAGATCCCTAGTGCTTAGGTGGATAACTTTATTAGAGAAGAGGGAGTGGCAGCATCTGGTCATCTCAGGTCAAGAGACTGTTTGTCAGGCTCTCCATTTTTTCCTGAATAAATTTTTGTCTATGAACTTGTACTTCTGGGTTAGCTGGCATCCAGTCCATTGAGCAGTGACTCATGGCAGATTAATGTAGAAGATTTAAGCAGGACGAGTATTTGTATTCTAAGGACATATGTTCATTGTTTATCTGCTGTTTAAACTGTTGTCTCTGAATGATTTTGGTGTCCTAAAGCTTCAGATATTACTCATCTACAGGGAGGCCATAGCCATTTCTCCTACTTGTTCTTCTCTTAAGTAAAAAACCTTGTATTATTCACACTTTATTTCATTATTTTTGAGGAATGGGATATATTCTTGTCTTCATATGAGCTTTATGGTATTTGAGGTCCTTTTCTCAACTTGAAAGTATTTCCTGATTACAGACAAAAGCAATCTACAAAGTCTTTTGCCAGCTTATTGAATCAAATGTTTTCTAGAGCTTATTTAAAAACTAAAGTAGTTTATTGCTGTATGAAGGTGGAATTAGATTATTAAAATACTGATTCCAGGTCTAGCTAATTTCTGCTGATCTTGTAGGTCAATCTCAAATTTTTATATACTATACCAAGGGATGAGGTTTAGTGGTCCACTCTGGTGATTAAAGCTTTCTGATTCACACCAACTACCTAGACTGATGACTAGTCTTATCAATAAGTTAGTAAGTCAAAATTTTATTTAGTTGCTCCAGGTAATATAATTTTTTTGTTCCCACCTCTGATCTTTGTGTTGGGTTTTCATTTTCTTTCACTTTTCCTTGGGTAAAATGCTAAAATAGGTTGCTACCATTAAGATCTGTCATCTCAGTTAAAGGCACATTAATTCTGTGGAACTGATGGAACAATCTACTAGTGTTTCATGCACAGAAAAGTATTTTAGACTCTATCTTTTGAATATTATTAATTTGTGGAAAAAGTGTTGTTCCTTTAATATTTTTTGCAAAGCTGTATGTTGATGCTGTTCATAATGTTTCAAGATTGCTATTTTTTAATAACCCTGGCCCTTAAAACAGAAATCAAGAAGTTAAAATGAACTGATATTTCAGATGCATTTTCAAATGTCCCATATCTAAGCATATTTTCTCCATATTACAGGAGGAAAGACAATATCTTAAAAGCTGAGAAGGGTAGGGTTTGATCTTTAGAAAGAGTGACTTTGAAAACAACCCTCTTATTAAACTTTGTGGGAGGTTTCTGGCTTTTTATTTTGTGTTTTTCTTAAGTGGCAGTTGTAGTTTGGATTGCCCAAGCCCAAGGGAGTTTGTACAAATTTGGTTATTCGGAGGAGGATTATGGTCATTGGTACTTAGGCAATGCTTGTTGGAGTTTGGGGATGCTATTGGATGGTTGTATCTTTTGTCCACTGTTTTGAGGGTGTACATGGAAAACATTAATATTGATTCTCTACATTCCATCAAAAGAATATCTACTCTCATAGTTAGAAGCTTTCTTTTTTCTTTTTAATTTCCATACTAAATTTCTTCTTGACTAACTTGTATATTTAACTTATCTGTCCTTCACCATCCCGTTTATATCCTAAAACACTTGTACTCTTTAGTCTTTGTTTTGTTAGACTAAACAAATCAAAGTATCAAAAAAATCTTAACAATATCTGGGGCTCTTTTGGCATCTGTTTCATTCATTTTCTTTTCAGAGGGTTGAAAGAAAGAATCACTAAGTATTCCAGTTGAGTTTCTAGCAGCGATATTTGTGATAGGGCTAACAATTGTTAGGTCACTACATTGTTAGTTCACTACATTGTTAGTTTTTTTAGGACTTTACTGCATCTTTTGAGCAGATAATAAGTTCATATCTTAATTTCTACTCCTGAGTTCTAAATCTGTAACAAAAATGTAGTCCTTAAACATGTGACTTTCAATATGTATTTTTCAGTTTGTTTTTGTCAGTCATGTCCTCAGTGTGAACAGGATCTTTTTAGTATCATCCTCTCTAGTGTAGTGACTTCAGCTTTGGAGTAGTTTTCATCACCATGTTCTGACTTAACATCATAAATGAATAAGGTAAATAAAATCTGTCCTGAAAATGATTCATTCTTAAGGAGCTGTACTAGTGACATCTATTTGGTTAATTTCCTATGTGTCTGTTACCAAACACTTTGGTGAAATATTAATAAACTGCTTCTCTTTTGTTTACTCTTCACTTATTGAGTTAATTTTATGTAAGGGGAGATTTAGGTTGTGTTTTTACTATTTTATATTATTTTTATATCAATAAGTGATGTTACTCTCAAAATATATTTTGAAGCCATGGGTGTATTTAAAATGGATTTTTGTTTTTAAACAAGTGCTAGAACTAATGTTTTCAGTGACTTCTAATTTCACAGCTATAAAAGTGTTTGCTGGTAGACTTCATGCTGTATATTCCAGCTCTTTGAGGTCTCTGGGATGGAAGTTAGTTGGTTCTTCTGATTTGAGGGAATTTGGCTCTTGGGTTCTACTTTCACTTATACTGTGATAATCTGATAATTTTCTTTTCCTAATTGAAATTCTTCTAGATCATCCAAAGTTAACTCTTCTGTTGGCAAATTAATTATACTGTTTCTTTCCAAGTACTTGGATTACATCTGGAGGCTTTGCTTAGTCTTATTTTGCTTGATAATAGTTTAAGGTCTTCATTGGTTACTTATTTCCAAAATGAAGAAATTTCAAGCTTCCACCGTAAGCAAAGAAAGCCATCTTTAAATAGCTGTTTCCTTTTGTAGCCTTCAAAACTTATTTGACTAAGTCTGAATACCTTTTAGGTCTGTTCTGATGAATCTTTACCCAAGTGGCTGAGGATCACTCAGCTGCATTTTTTTGTTATACATCTACATTTATTTTACTAAGTTTATGTATATTAATCTGACTGACATTTTTCTGTTCGTTTTACCTCAAATGTTTAGGTAACAAATGTTTAGAAGAGCACCTTAGTATTTAAATCATGTAATGTGATCCTCAGTATAGAGCGGAACTATTAAAGCCTCATCAACGAACAAAACAAAATTAAAAATGTGAAGTGTGTTTTAATAAAATCGTGCTTGTTAATTCACTTTGTGAGAACAGCTTGAGCTGTATGTAGATTTATTTAAAGCACATAATTGCTTAGTTTTAAGTATTATTGAGTAAGTTTCTAGTAGTATTGCAATTTTAAATAAACTACTTAAAAAATATTTTTACAGGTTGTTATTCCAAGGAGTCCTCTGCAGGCCAAAGGATTGCTGCTGTCATGCATAGAGGACAAAAATCCATGCATATTCTTTGAACCTAAAATACTTTACAGAGCTGCAGGTAAAGATTTGTATGTTGTATTTTCCAATAAAGCAACAATGTTTGGGGTTTTTTACACATACATGTTTAGTCACAGCTCAAACAGTACTTCAGTGGAAGTCTTGACTTGTTTGGTCTCTAGCTATGTTGTGGGCTGGGTTTTTATAGGAATTGTGAAAACTGAATAAATTCTCAAAGTTTGACTGCAAAGATAAATAAACACTTACCATCTGCTTTATGCTCAATTAACTTTGGAAGTGGAATGCTTTACAGCCTAAGGTTAAAAAAAGAAATAGCACTAACAGGTATTATTCTTTATCAAATTTTGATATAAATTTGGCCAAATTGGAACTGCTTTCTTGTGGTAACTCTAAATACTAAATTAAGTTTTGAGATCAGTTTTTATTTTTCCAAAAGAACTGAGCCCCACCATCACTGTTTTCCCAAAGTTGAAATTTCTTTGAAATGCTTAATTTCTAAAAGTCTTCAAAATCTGCCCATTTAGAATTTAACCTTATTTAAAAGTTAGTGTGATTGCCATTACTTTTGAACTTTCTGGTTCAGAGTAGTTTTAATAGCTCTCAATTACGTGTAACATACTGGAACAGCGGAAATTGACAGTGATGGTGTTTTAGTTCTAAAAATTAGCTTGTTACTTCTTTGTACTAGAGGAACTTGACAGAACAGAAAATAGATGAAAAGTTTTGCATCTGGAGGTAGGCAGAGAAATTGGATGAGCAATGGATAAAATAGAGCTGAAGCCATGACTTACCCATAGTGTTTCTCTCCTGTGGTTTTATAATGCTAACTGTGCTCGATCCATCAATCCAGTTTATAAATTGACTCTGTGTGGACTCAATTTGAGTGACAGACAAGGTGTTTCTATTTTGCTTTGGACCTTTTTAACAGCACTTTCCCATCGCTGCATCCATTTTGTCAGTAAATTTATTCTCTTCCTAGAAAGACAGTAATAAGGGAAAATTTTAGAAAACAGACATCAGAACTACAAAGAAATAGTAATATAACTCAGGATCAAATAGGATGTTTACTGGTAAAACTGCTTATTTGCTTGTATATTTCCAAAAAAAGGCCCAGAAGTCCTGCTAGCAATGTAAATTTAGAAGTGCAGCTATTTTTAGTGTGGTGGGGTGTGTTGTATCCATAGGGTATTGCATTCCTTGAGTTCAGTGTGTTTTGAAATTTACTAAAATTCACTTAAAGGTTTCTGTCTATTAATTTAGAAGAAGTTGTTTGAAAAATGAGCTTCAGTCTGAGTCCTGTTAAACAAAGAAAAAAAATGAAGTGTTTTTAAAACAGGCCTTTATTTCTCTCCCTTCCTCCAGTATTTACAAGTCACAAGTACAGACTGTAGAGTTAATAAAATACTTGCTTTCATACTGGCATGAAAGGCTGCACATCAATATCACATAGTTTTCAGAATATAGGGAGGTTTTTGTGTTTGAAGAAATGACTTGTTAAGCAACTGCTGTATCATTTAGTGAGCATAAATCAGGCTTGTGATGGAAATCTTGAGTAAACATGTGCGGAAGTAGTGTTTAGTGTGATCTATATGCTGGTCAGTAACTAGCTACAGCATTGCTGTTGGGAATTTATGAGAGTGATTTCTTCCTGCATTCTGATGGCTAACTTTCAGAGACTTAACCTATATTTTTTGTCTTAAAATTTCTAAGAACATCAGTTTAGTGGTGTAAGTTGAAATTTATAGTACATTTGCATCAACATGTGACAGATAATTGTGACAGATAACTTCTTTCATCTATATGGATATTTTATTATTTCTACAATATAAAGCAGGAATATTTTACTGTATGGAATGGTTTTTCTGTTCCTTTTATTTTCATTGTAAACCTTTCTCTGTGTTATCATTTGTTTGTCATCTTTACCATTAAGCTGTCATTTGTGGGTTGGGTCAGCTTGGACTGGAAGATGATTGCTGTCTGGGAATTTCTCCTGTAGAATTGATCTCTTTTAGAGTTCATTCTTATTCTCCTGGCCATAGTCAAGGTTTCTGGTGATTCCACTATAGAAACCAAGTGGCCTGCTGAATTCAGAAATGGAACAGGGCCATCATGATTGGTAAGATCAAGATGCAGCAGCCATGAGATACAAGCCTGGTAAACAAGAGTAAGGTTAGCAGTGGAAAGAAGGGTTTTAAAAATATGACTGTCTTGTGTTTCATAGAGAAAATTCTTACAATACCCCATGTGAGTTTGTTGATTCTATCAGGAAAAATAAAATTGTACTGATTCAGAAACTTGCTTAGACAGTAAGCTTGAACTATGTCTGTGTCTATTGAGTCTTTCCATTAATGTCTCAAAACAGTGCAGGGTCTTCTGAAAGCTGGGAACATACAGGCTTTCCAAAACAAGAACAGAAAATGGCATCAGTTGTCCTTTATTACTTATCTTTTTTTTTTTTTTTCTTTTTAGCATGGTATAAAGCTTCATCTAAGATTTGAGATCTCGTTGTTCCAGACGAAAATAATTTTCTTTATTTCCATGATGATGGCTCAGTCATTGAATAATGAAATCATATTGCCCCTACTATAGCTTTTTTTTGGTTTAGCTCTATGTGAATAGACATGTTTGTTCAGAGGGCTTTATGAATGATGTTACATCAGTGGTGTAGGGACTATAGTTGAAAAATTAAGATGTTAAGGACATTAATGGGAAGGAAGATTTTCTGTCCGTAAAATTAATGTAGGCTTTTGAGCCTCATCATTTTCCTCTAATGGACTTTTCTTTCTTCCTATGAGGCCTCTAAATATTTGTCCATCATTTTGTTCAGAGTTGTTGATGTATTTGAAATTATAGCTGAAAATAAACTATAGGTGGGATAGTCTTTAAAACACAGGATATCTGTCCTTATTCAGATGGCCTGAAGCTAATATTGCTTTGTTTAAAACAAACAAGCCAAAAAATCAAGCTAAAATAATGACAAAGATCCCACTCCCTTTCCACTCCAACTACCAAAAATTTATAGCCTTTCTCTGAGTGTTCCTGACAAGGTTTGTTTCTTGTCATTAATTACATTAGTCTTCAGGTATGTGTCTCCATATTTTGTTTATAGCTTCTCCTTTTTCTTTATAATTCCATCAGATAATTTTACTGAAAGAAACACTTCTGTATTCCCCATAACCTTATCAATAAGTGGGACTGAGCAGGTTTGGGTCTTATAGCTGCCACCCTCAACCTTTGTGGTAAGGTCTGTGCCCCTGTGTGTTCTTCCTTATGGCTTCTCCCTCTTCCTGTTCTCCCCTTTTGTGTTGTAACGATCCTTTACTAGACACCCTCTGAGGACAAAATGCTGTCTTCTTTCACATAACCAAACAAGTGTTTATCAGAAGTATTGTGTATGTTAATTTTCCTTCAGTTATATTAGGAAGGAGCAGAGAAATGTAAGCCTTTCTGAGTAAAAATCTAGAGTTAAATATGCAAGTACATGTGCAAAGAGAGAATTCTATTGCTATTTAACTTACGAGATCATAATGTTACTGAAAGTGCCGTAGTGATGTCCCCTTAAATGTCAGAGATACTAAGAAAATATCTGAATTAAAAAGGAAGAGGCGGCTTTGATTTATAAAAAGTGTTAACAGCCTGTGCAGTGTCAAGAGAACGTAATGGTTATGAATCAAAGGAGAAGATGAGTCACCTTGACATTATCAGGTTTAGACGTCTTGTGGAGAACCTACTCTGATGTTTTTTGACCTTTTCAGTTTCATTTAATTGTACTATATATGACATTGGTGGTGTAGAAATAAATACGACTTGCATCAGTGGTTGTTATAGAGACAAGGCAGGTAAGATGAGAAAACATGTATTTTCTTTCTGCTGTTCAGACTGCTCCCTTAGAAAATACAACAAATGTTGTAACCTCTTAAAATTAACTTGTCATGGCCCCTTTTCACTGATAATTACTTTTTGTTAATTGCTGTATTTGAAACTTTTGATTTAAAATACTTTATTTCTTTAGTAATAGATTGATAGGCTGCTTTGTATGTAAACATTGTTATCCTGGATTAGATAATTACTATGAAAGAATATTAATAGAATAATTTCATATGCTGTTTTTCATCTATATTAGTTGGGAGAGGAGTTTTTAGAAAGGCAATGAAGACAAATCTATGCAAATTGGACTTTCCTATAAATTTTTGACAAGCTAAATTTTAGATTTAAAATTGTCAGATATTATAGATGAGGTCATTTAATGGACATTTCATTGCAGAATGGTTTAGCTATAGTAAGAAATAAGTTAATTTGTGTAATTATATGTTATATTTCATTTCCCTAAGTGGATAAAACCATTATCAGAGAAAAAAATTTTATTTCTGTATCATGTACACCTTCTAGTTTTTCCTCTGGCTCATCCCACCTCCTTCAAAACCTTCTCATTCATGTTGGTACCCTGGGTTTCCACTTGAAGGTCCCGTGGTATCTTTTTAAGTTCCTTGTTCTCCAGGTTTCATGTAGGTGACCATTTCATGACAAGGACAGTTATGCAATGCCAATTAGTGTAGTTGTGGGTTTCATTGTCTTTCAGGATCTCTTTCTGTTGCCTGAGGGTCATACAACGTGTAAAATCCATAGAAACCTGGCCTGCCGCTAATGTGCAAAGAGCAAGGGCTGGATGTGCCTCTCTTCCCTTTCCTTCCCAGCCCTATATTTTTCTAGCCACTTGTTATTCAAAGAAATTATTACAGAGCAGGGTGCTTGGACTAGGTGATCTGCAGAGGTCATTTCCTACCTCAGTCATTCTGTGATTCTGTGTATTTAGAAGATTTATTTTTTCTAATTACTACTAGAATATGTTTTAAGAAGTATTATTTGACTTGCTGGTGCATAGACAAATTCATCTTTAGATCAAAAACAGTATTTCTTTTAAAACAGGATATATGGATATTTTTATCATAGTTTTAATCATTAAATCATTAATGTATAGTGTGTTGGAGCATTGATTCTAAACTAGCACAACTGACTGAACATTTTTCCATCTGAAAACTAGTACATGACTCTTGAATGGAACTACCTTAAATGTCTTTGGAGAAGACATTTCCTGCCTGATTCTTGCATTCTCTCTCTAATTGTGGTGTATTTTTGGTGAATAGATAATATTTTTTTAAAGGAAAAATATTTAAACTTATTTTAAACTGCTATAACCTGAAGTTCTTGCTGATTCTTCCTGTGTAGCTTCTGAAAACCTTTTACCTCAATTGAAACATAAAGCTGCAAATCATCTTACTTGGAGCATCAGGAGGATGCTGGCACAGCTGATCCTTCTTGTCTGAGTATTAAAGTATAATTTCAAGGCTAGATGATTTCTAGAATAATCAAGAATTCTGATTAATTAGTGGTTACTTGAGATTTTTTTACCAGCAGTGTCCATTTCCAAATCTGATGCTGATATTCTGACTTGATGTACACCAGAACTTATTACTATCTTTTGCATGTGTATATATGCATCATCTTGTTGTGGTATGTAACATAAATTAAACTCCACACTGGACATATTTGTAACAGTCTAATTAAAAAGAATTTGAACTGCAGCTAAAACCTTTGAATGCTAATACTCAGCTATTTTAGCCTAATGCTAATAGAATTACACAGTTGTTAGTGTTGGAAGATCTGGAGATCATACAATCCAGCCCCTCTGCCAAGGTAGGGTCAGCTAGAGCAGGTGACACAGGAACACATCTAGGTGGGTTTTGAATTTCTCCAGAGAGGGAGACACCACAACCTTGCTGGGCAGCCTGTTCAGTGCTGTGCTACCCTCAACATAAAGAAGCTCTTCCTCATGTTGAGGTGAAGCTTTTTCTGGTTTAGTTTATGGTCGTTGCTCCTCATCCTGTCACTGGGCGCCAGTTACATACTCAATATAAATTTGGTCTATGGTTTTAGATGGCTTTAACATTTAAGAAAAATTTTAGTGTATGGTTTTATGGATAATATTGACTAATAAAGGAATTTAATGCTTATTTTGTCTTCCTGTCTTTTTTTTTTTTTCAGTGGAACAAGTTCCTGTAGAGCCCTACAACATTCCACTGTCGCAAGCTGAGGTGCTGCAGACAGGCAGTGATGTGACAATGGTTGCTTGGGGCACTCAGGTCTGTAACTCTCTAACAAGCTATTTGTCACCCAGCAAAGCCTGGCCTAGGGGGTAGGTGGTGCTTGCTTTCAAGCTCAAGTGCCAGACATGAGTGTGCTGTCTTCCATCACTATATGCTTAAACAAATGTTTGCCAGTGTTTGTATTGCTATGAAACATGCTTTTTATTGTGTAAGTTTTTACTAATTTTTGATTGAAGATGGCTCTGGAAGTGTAGAAGAGGTACCTGTGCATCAGGTTAATGATTTTTCTATGATTATGAGAATGATAGATTTAAGAATGGGGTAGTGACATGTAACTCTCAGGAAGGCAGTGGGAAAGAAAAGTTCAAAATAGTATGCTGAAAGAAAAGTATAGATCTTCACTGTGTGATTTAAAGAAGTGTAACTTGGGGGTCCCTTTATACAGAAAGTTAAAAATCCATGTAACATTTAATACAAGTAGGGATTGGTATAGTTTTGTTTCTAACAGTTACATTTCAAAGCTGTTCAGGAGCATCATTGTCAACCCTCCCCCTCCTCCCCTCCCCCCCACCAAATTAAGATCTGCAAATAGTGAAAAAGCTGTTAAGAAAATACATCTTTGTAGTCCAGAATTATAGAAAAGAGATTTGAGTCTAGTTTGGACTAACCAGAAGTTACTATTTTCTTGGCCTACTTGTATCTGAGAAACTTTTAGAGGAGAGGGTCTTAAAATTTCTGTGACAAAGCATATTGACCTGATCTTTGTGTTTGTGCCTATTTGTTGTTATGTTATTGGGTTTGTTCGTTTTGTTTTCTTTGACATTTCTAATCTTCAGTGCTTGTCTGTGGTAGTTTCCTTGTCTTCAGACTAGTTAATCTCCTTTATATCTGTGGTTATTCCTACTAGTTTCTGATAATTTTCACCGCTATTAAATTATGGATTTCTTAAATATCTTTACTTGTACTTGTTTTTTTCCAGCAGATATTGATAAAGTAATTAACTTGATAAAGTAATGGCTTAAAAGCTGGCTATGGAGATTTAATAATATCCTGAGTTTACTCAGTAGGCAGTAGTACAGAGAGGACTTGCAGTGACATGCTTCAAAAAAGCTGTGTTCTGGTTCTTGGAAAAAATTATGACACACTTTTCTTTTGGTGTGACAAAAAATTGGACAGATGTGCAGACACATCCAGGTTTAGGAGCTGACCAAACCCTGCCTTTGGCTGTGTCATACAGCAAGGGGGCAGATGTTTCACATATATGAAGTAAATCCAGTTGTGTTGGTTTGTCACTGGAGGTGACAGTATTCTGCAGATCAAATATGTTCAGCAAGTTTGTGTTGAGGATGTGTTCAGGTGAAGCACGTAAACTTGGAGTTTTTAATTGTGCTACCACTCCAGAATTCACTGTCAGTAGGCAGAGGGGTTGCACAGACTCATTGATAACTTCTTTTATGGTTTTGGACACAAGGGGCATGAGGTAGTTGCTTGTCAGCTGCTGCTCTGGTGAGGTTCCCTGATGCTGATTGTCCTGGGTGGTGTTTATGAAGGGCAGAAAAAACTTCTAGTTCCTTCCACTTGTGCTCAGACTTTTATGTCAATAACTAATCTGTTTATTGTCATTAAATAATCCATATCCCCTTTGAGCTAGGTAAGTGTTTATACTTTTACAGAGAACAGCACGTCTGTCCTGTGTGCCATATTGAAAATTTTCAAGTATTCTTACTACAGCCACAGATGTATTAGAAGTTTAAACAAAAACACTGCAAGCTGTATTTTCTTTCTGGTACTGGAATTCTTCTATTGATGTCCCTTTTAAAATTTTCCCTTTGCATTTAGGTGTTCATATAAACATGATATAGTTTGTGTTTAATTCCTTAATCATCTTGTTTCAGTGTAGAATTCATGCCTGTATAGGATTTATTAATGCCCTCTGACCTTTGGGCGACTGACACTGCCTGACCATGTCCATGTTGCTAAATTCTGTTGTCTTCAGGATGAAGATGACCTCATCCAGTTTAATTATTGGGTCCTTGACTTCAGCCTCTTGGCTATACCTAGAAGTTGCTTGATGAAGGTCATTTGCCGTAGTCCTAACCTGTATTGTGAAATGTTCTGGCAAAGAGAGCATCAGAGTTTATTTGCAGCATCATATTGATAAATTTTTTTATCCACATATCTCATGAGCAAATTCTTCTTGCTGAGATATTTGTAGAGAATAATCTGAGTTGTAACAGTTGTTATTTTCCATGTTGGAGCATTTGCATGCAAATATTTGTTTTAGGGAAGCCAATGATTGAACTGCATTTTGCTGAAAAGTGTTTTACAACCTTATGTCAAGATACAGTTTTGAATGTATGTAGTATTACTTTCTTTCCTGTTCTTAGCATAACATACTTTATGGAAAGGATGGAAATAGATGTGGATTGTTTTATATCTACTGTGACACACTACTAAATAAGTTCCTTGGCTGGTGGATACGGAATAACCTGTTCCAGTTCAGTGATAGCCTCCTACTAGAGTGGAATACTTTTCTGTGTCAGTAAAATGTTAATTGTAGTAATCAGGTAATGCAGCATTTGTAATGTTGGTGTTAAACTGTGTGTTGGATGAGCAATAAATGGTTATAATGTCATGCTACTGCAATATACTTTGATTGTGGAGATCAGGACTGGATATTTACAGGTAGTGGTAATTACTTTCTCTCCTAGCTGTTTGTAAGATAATGGTTTGGAGATGATCACTTGGCTATGTTTCAGTAAGTTAGACTAAGAGTAGATACTGGGACTGCTAGAACTGTTTGTTGGCTTTTTGGCTAAGATCAGATGGAGTGCAGTGTAGTATTTCTGAATGTACTTAATGCTTCTTGCAGGATTGTATGGGACTGCTATAGTAAAGTATATTACTCTGATGTATTTTGGTATTAGCTTAGTTATAGTCCTAACATAAAACTTCTAGACTCATTCAAACTGATTTAAAAAAAATAAAAATAGCGAGGACTGATACTATTCACTGAAAGACATCTCTAGAAAGCCAATTTTGTTCTCAATGATTCTTCAGTGCATTTAGTTTTTGGAGTGGTGCTAAAATACTGGGAATAATTAGGTACTAAATAAGAAGAATGCACTGAATACTAAATGGTTATTATTGAATAGAAAGGTCTCTGCTCAATATGTAGGTGCTATGTTAAATCACTGCTTGTATTCCATATGTGTAATTTAGAGAAAATTGCATAATTTAGATTATTTGGTGATGATACATTGCTTTTTCAGGTACATGTGATCAAAGAGGTGGCATCAATGGCTCAAGAAAAGCTTGGTGTGTCCTGTGAAGTTATTGATCTGAGGACCATCTTACCATGGGATACAGAGACTGTTTGCAAGGTAAGGAAATGAGGTACATTAATTTAAAAACAATCTAGGTTTTTTTTAAATGTTTCTTGCTTTTTGCTTTGTTTTGTATATATTGTTCTGTTGGTGGTGTTTCATTTCTGTTTTTTTTTTTGTTTTGTTTTGTTTTTTCTAATTCTGTATCATAAATGCAGAGTACATGCAAATTACATGGACCAGACATTTGCTTTAGCATTGAAAGAGAATTATGTTTCAGGGCTCAAAATAATGTCAGCATACATGTTCTTTACTTTCAAGCAGAGGACCCAATTTAATCAGACTTGTGCCTGAAAATTGGTTTTCCATGATTTCTGAGTCATTGTCTTTCTGACATCTTTGCTGTCTTTGGCAAAATCTTTATCTTTTTCTTGCTGTTTTACATTAAGATGTTCATCTAGTTGTAGGTCTTCAGTAATGTGCCTTAGGGTTGTTTAGCTGTACTTTTAGAAATAAATGTTTTGATTTAAGGTATACAAATTCTTGGGTTGGGAAGAAAAAGCAGCATTTACCCTTCTCAGACTACCTAGTTTGGAATTCCTGGGTACTGGAAAGCCCTTTTTTTTGTTTGTAGAGGTCTTTGATGTCACCAACAGAACAATTATTGCTTTTGCTAGAGCTGAGAGTTTCCTTAAACTGGCAAATTCACAGGCCTGCAGGACCATGGCTAACAACTCCTTGGATCCTAATTCAAGCTGGGTTCACTCACTCACTTAATGCTGCTGAACAAATCACTCAGAAGACTGAGAGATGTCTGCAGCTCTCTTAACTCAGTCCTCGTAACTGTAGTGTACTGAATTAACCACAGGGATGACAACAGCCGTGCCATGGGCTTGGAAAAAGGTGTGTGTTTCCATCAAATACTTTCTGTGCTTGCAGTTTCTAATTTAAGGCAATATGGTGTCATTTCTACAGCTAACTCAGATTGTACAGATGTTTAAATAGGGCAGATGAGGCACATACCTGACTCTATATACTTGGAATATCTTAATTGTGTCATTCTGTGTTTGCTCAGTAAGGGCCTTGCTTCTGGTCAGGAAACATAAAAACGTTAAATATGTTAAAGGGAAAGATGAGCCATTGGTCTGCTACTCTATGGCAAAGCTTGTATTTCTCCTGTTTGATTTAACTGAGGGACTGCCAGTGGGATGGGATGGAATAGATTACAGAAGGAAATATCCATGCTGTGCATCTGCTCTTGGCAGTGTTCTGCTGTCTGGTTGTGGATGTGTAACAAACTGTGTACTTATATGTGCAGCTATGAGTTGCCTCATATAAATTTGATCTTCTTGGTTGAAGTGTATTTCATTTTTTTGAAGTGTGTTTCTTGTTACTTGGATGTACTTTCTAGCTGTAAAAAATGAAATGTGTTGAGTTACTGTCATCAATATGAAGTGAAATTTTGGCCATAATAAGTCCGTTACAATCTCTTCTGGGCAAGTAAAATGATTCTTTTTTTTCCTTTTTTTTTTGCTAATTTTTTTCCTTTGAAGATTTGAGCTGTCATTCTTTGAAAACAAAGTATCTCTTTGAAGGAACATTTAATTCTCTTTTGTTGGGTTGGATCTTCACTGAAAGGCCATCAGGAAAAAATGCAGCTGTGCATAGGAAGTGCAGAGCTTTAGTTGTACAATATTTTTCAAATATGTTCTTTAAATTTGAATACTCCATGAAGATTTTCAGCTCATGTTCTGTCCTGAACATCTTTTAAGGTAACTGTGGCATAAATAAAAATATCATAGAATGGGTTGGATCCAAAAGGACTTTAAAGATTATGTAGTTTCAACTCCCCTGCCAGAGACAGGGACATTTTCCATTAGATCTGGCTGGCCTTGAACTCTTCCAGGGCTGGGGCATCCACATCTTCTCTGGGAAATTTGTTCAGTTCTGCCCTTGCAGTGAAGAATTTTTTTTTTCTAATACCTAATCTAAACCTATTCTTAGTTTGAAGCTCTTCCACCTTGTTCTGTCACTACATGTTCTTGTAGAAAGTCTCTCTCCATCTTTATTATAGGCTCCCTTCAGGTACAGGAAGGCAGCAATTAGGTCATGCCAAAACCTTCTTTTTACCAGGGTGGGCAATCCCAATTCTTCATGTTTGCTTGTAGGAGTGGTTCTCCATCTGTCTCAAAGATGAAACTGATGGACCTGTTGCTGTAAATCTGTTAGTAAGTTTACTTCTAAGAATTAAGAGAATCATCTAAAAAAAATTCCAGTGCCTCTTGGCTAGGCAGTTCAGCTGTTTATTATAATAAATACCAAACAGTAAATGCTTTTGGTTAGCATTGCTATTATATTAGTTTGGCTGTATGCTGGCCGGTGTGATGGGAGAAATGTTAAATTCTCTTCTTTACATCTTGTCTGTTTTGCTCAGCTGAAAATAATTAGTTATTTGCATTTGTGCCTTAGTTGGTTGCATTATGTAACACTGAAACATTTTAAATTTCATTTGCATCCTGGACAGCTTTTAAGGTAATTGGTAGTGCAAACAGAAGGATGGAACTACAGTTCTAGCTGCTTGCTGTAGTCTCATTCTTAGAGGAACTGCTTGTGGCAGCTGTTGCTGTTGACAGCATCAGTTTCAGTGGTGGGACTTATTATTCTCTTCCTGAGATGCCAGTGTCAAGATCCAAAAGAGCACTAGAGAAGTTGGCCATTCCAGAGAAGTTCCTCAGCTGTCTATTGGTCTGCTTATGTTCTCTCTGGGCTCTTAAATGGTAATGGAATTGCTTTTACTCCTGTCCAACCAATAAGCAAATTATCAGCTGTTACAGGCAGCCCTTTGCCTCTGACTATTACTTGTGTCAGCATTCATAAACATCAGGCCAGCTTTTTGTTTTTTTGTTTTGTCGTGTTGGATGCAGATGATGGTGCACCTAATATGCTGTAACCTTATTGCTCTTCTGCTGGTGCTGGAATGCATGGTCCATGGCTGATGGGAGTCTGTGTGGTGCTGGACACCAGGACTTCGTGTCTTGCTGTAAAAACACATCCCTCAGTTTTACTGCTGACAGTGGTGTCCTTTGTGATCTGTCACTTTAAGGCTGTCATTTTAATCTTGGCTGCAAATATATTCAACTTTAATTTGACAGCTGTAGTGTAGCCATGAAGAGGGATGGGCTGAAATTTTTTGTGCTTTGGAGATGAGCAGTAGTTTGTCAGTTTGTCCATTTTTACTGCAATCTGACTCCTTGGTCTGCTTTCTGTAGCATTTTCTATACAGAAAATTATGTCATCAAAATGCATATTTCCTAGGACTATGAGTTGTACTTCGCATCTGCCACCAGAGGCCTCCTCTAGTCAAGTTAAGTGTCTGTTTTGACTTTGCATTGCTCCTATGAGCGTGTTTATGAATATATAGCTCTGAGGGAAACATAAATACACATAAAGAATAAATACAGTGAGCAAAAATAAAAATTGCTGCCTAATTTTACTGATATTTTCTTTGCATTTTAAAGATTTTGAGATTCTGCTCAGTTTTGAAATAGGTTAGCACTTGTCATCTACAGGAGGAGATGAGGTTGCACCTGCCTGGAGCAGACTACCATGGACTTCAAATGGATCCCAGCAGTAATTGAAACTTTTTTTTGGTACAATTCCTGGAATGGGTCAACATGCAAACAGGGGCTAGATTTTTCTTTTGTTCATCTTCATATGCCTAAGGAGAAATGAAGGTTGACCTAGTTACAGTATTCTAGAGAAAAAGAGAATACAGAGATATTTCCTGAGGTCAATCATCACAACTGCATCAGCAGTCTGGTTTTTCATGAGATAAATTGGCCTCTGGAAATGTCATGGTTTAAAAGTTTGGTCTTTAAAAAAAAAAAAAAAGTTAGGGAAACCCTAGTTTTCCTAGAGTAAAGTTAGGTGAGGCAAATTGAACTCTAATTTTGTAGTTGAGAGATGACACCTGCTGCTGACATGAAGAGCATAAGTATTTGGCTTGTTTAAAAAGAACATATCTGACATTTTTACTAGGATAAAAGCAAAGAATCAGTGTGGTTTATATACATTTCTATACATTAAAATGCATGCTGATCTGTAATCTTTCTAAAATCCTTCACGAGAAAAATGAAGTAGATTGTTCAGGTTGTACATGCAGAGACTCCCAGTATATTGCTTCTGAATGAGACATGAAGTTAAAATGAACATTTGCTTTTTCCCTGCAGGATTGAAAGTAAACCCAACATCAACTCCCAGTATGTAGCTGTATAAATCAACTTAAAAAGTTTTGTTGTTATGTGTCAGAAAAGTGACACAAGCTTGTTTAAGGAGTATGTGCTGCCTTAGCTGCTTCCTTAGGAAGCAAAGGCTGTCCTTAGTTTACTGACCATCTTCTCTATGTATACATCTTCAAAGCACAATCTCATTGTGCTCAGTGAGAAATTTGTTAGGTCTTGTTTACTTTGACAATTTTCACTGATTTCTGACTAAAACTCTTGTTTTATTCACTACGACTGAAGTAAAAGTGGTACAGCAGTTATAATTCAAAGAGAGATGGACTAGCTGTCCATGGAGTTAATTTTTTTTTTTTTGAGTGAGGGAATGCTTTCCCTGTGCTTATTCTAACATCAGCATCCTACATCTGTATGTTTCATTTGTGTATGAGTGGACTGGGATCAGGAGTGATTTTTTTTCCCATTATACCTTCACCTGTAAACACAAATGCATGAAATTAATGTGTTTCTCAACATACCCTGCTGGTAAAGGAGCCTCTGCTTTGAAGTTTTCTGCTACTTGATTGATTAGCTGTGTTACTATTGAAAATCTAAGCTGCCATGAAGGATGCTGCTCAGAGAACTGAAGCATGAGTTATATAGGAAATAATTATAAAATTGGTTATTTATAAGCCACAAAACTGTTTAAAAGCACTTTTTCTCCCTTTCAGAAATGAAGTTTTCAAACAAAAATTTTATTTCCTTCACTATACTTAACAGATTTGCTTGGACACTTTGAATAGATTAGGCTGTGTGGACTTTCCTGTGTATGAACTACTG